AACTGCTCTTCTTTGGAACTCAAAAGGAAAATATCTATGTTGTTGATCTAAATAACCTTGACTCATTCAATGAAACTTGCTTTCAAGCCTTATCTCAGGATCTGGAATCTTTGTGGCATAGAAAATTGGGACATATATGTCTATCCAAACTGTCTAAATTATCCAAATCTAAGTCTGCCAGAGGCATTCCTACTTTAAAAGAAAAGCAAAATTTTTTCTGTGATGCATGCATTGCTGGAAAACATGCTAAGAAACATTTTAAACGTAAAAAGGATATAACTACTTCTGCCTGTTATGAACTCATTCATATGGACCTTTTCGGTCCTTGTAATGTTACAAGTCTTGGAGGAAAATCCTATGTATTTGTACTTGTTGATGACTTCTCTAGATTTTCTTGGGTGTTCTTTTTAGCTACAAAAGATGAAACTTTTGAAAAATTTAAAATATTTGTTGCTCAAGTGTTGAATGATTCATCTGCATGCTTAAAATCTATCAGGAGTGACAACGGGGGAGAATTTATAAATGAAAACTTTGAAACCCTTTGCAATGAAAAAGGAATTACACACTCTTTCTCTGCTCCTAGAACACCACAACAGAATGGTGTTGTAGAAAGAAAAAATCGTACTATTATTGAAACTGCCCGTACTATGCTCCTTGAGTACAATTCTCCAAAAAATCTGTGGGCTGAAGCTGTTAACACTGCTTGTTACACCATAAATCGAGTCCTTATTCGTAAACACTTGAATAAAACACCTTATGAGATTCTTAAAAACAAGTCTCCAAATCTCAACTACTTTCATCCCTTTGGATGTAAGTGTTATGCTTTAAATACAAAAGACCATAGAGGTAAATTTGACTCTAAATCAGACCCTTGTATTTTTGTGGGATATTCCACAAAAGGACAAGCTTTTCGTGTGTTCAACAAGATTTCTAGACGTGTTGAAGAATCTGTCTTTGTCAAATTTGATGATTCAATGTCATCTACTTCTATTGATCCTTGTAATTCTAGTTTTCCTTCACTAGAATTTAATTACCCTTCTAAGTCTACAGAAGCAGAAAGTACATCAGCTTCCACTCAAGAACCAACCAGTGCAGTTGCAGAAACTATTCAGGATGAGGATCAGACCTCTCTCACCAAATCTGCCCCTGCTCACATCAGAAAAAGACACCCTGAGTCACTCATCCTCTGTAATCTGGATGACAAAATCAAAACACGAGGTAAGTATGTCCCTGGACAATATGCTTTTGTGTCTCAACTAGAACCTAAAAACTACAAAGAAGCACTTAATGATGAAGAATGGACAATTGCTATGCAAGAAGAAATGATTCAATTTATTAGATTAAAAGTATGGGAATTAGTTCCTCTGCCTTTAGGTAAATCTGTGATAGGAATAAAGTGGATTTTTCGCAATAAATCTGATGAATTAGGAATTATAATAAAAAACAAAGCTCGATTGGTTGCTCAAGGTTATAATCAAGAAGAGGGAATTGACTTTGACGAAACTTTTGCTCCCGTCGCTAGAATTGAGTCCATAAGAATATTATGTGCCTTTGCTTGTTTTATGAAAATACCTCTTTACCAAATGGATGTCAAAAGTGCATTTTTAAACGGAGTTATTAAAGAAGAAGTTTACGTGGCTCAACCTCCCGGTTTCATTGACCCTGAATTTCCTAACCATGTATACAAATTAAACAAAGTCCTATATGGTCTAACACAAGCACCTCGTGCATGGTTTGAACGTTTAACTGAATTTCTTATTGAGCAAAAATTTGAAAAAGGAGGAGTTGATAAAACACTGTTTATCAAAAGAAAAAATTCTGATATTCTGATTGTACAAATCTTTGTTGATGATATAGTGTTTGGGTCAACTAATCCAGAAATGTGTTCTGAATTTTGCAACTCCATGAAAAGTGTTTTTTAAATGAGTATGATGGGAGAACTATCCTATTTCCTTGGTCTTCAAATTAAACAACTCCCCTCTGGAATTTTTATCTCTCAAACCAAATATATTGACACCATGCTCAAAAAGTTTGATCTTCAAAATATCAATCCATGTAACACTCCTATGGCTGCAAATTCTAAACTAGATAAAGATGAAAATGGTATTCCAGTCTGTGAAAAGAAATATCGTGGTATGATTGGTTCTCTTCTGTACTTAACTGCGAGTAGACCTGACATTCAATTTTCTGTTGGCCTATGTGCTCGATTTCAATCCTGTCCCAAAGAATCTCATCTAACTGCAGTAAAACGAATTTTCAAATATCTAAAAGGAACTTCTAATCTAGGCATGTGGTATCCTCAGTGTGATTATTTTGATTTAGTAGGATTTGTGATTATTTACAGATAGAAAAGGCACATCAGGTTCTAGTCACTTTCTTGGTCCATGTCTTGTCTCTTGGTTTAGTAAAAAACAAGGTGTTGTTGCTTTGTCAACAGCTGAAGCTGAATACATGGCTGCTGGGAGTTGTTGTACACAATTAATGTGGATGAAATCACAACTGTCTGATTATGGTCTTGAATTTTCTAAAATTCCTATTTGCTGTGATAATACAAGTACTATATGCATGTCTAAAAATCCTGTTCAACACTCACGGACTAAGCACATTGAAATTAAACACCATTTCATCCGTGACTTAGTACAACTTGGAAAAATTGAACTTCAATTTGTTCCCACTGAAAATCAGTTTGCTGATTTATTTACTATACCTCTGCCAACTGACAGGTTTGTTGCTCTATGTACTGAAATTGGCCTCAAATCGTTTAATCAGATTTGCACTCTTTCCCCATAATGATTTTCATTGGATATGCATTTAATTCTTCTTCCTTCTGTCTACTTTATCTTTTGTTGCAACCAGATTGGTCTTTTTCTGCATTTCATGAGCATGCTTCTTAGGTTCACTCAACCTTCAATCACTGTAGTTTTCTTTATCTCATCATCATGTCTGATCACCTCAGATCCCTTGGTTTTGTCCATACCTACATCTCCTCCATCCATAGAGAACCTGCCGTCATAAATCACTATCGTTACCTTGAATTCTTTGATCGACGACCTCTTGCATTCCAAATCCGTATTGATCCTCTCGAATTCATTCCTTTTGGCATGGATATCATGCCTCTGATCAGTGCTCTTGGCTGGGAATTTCTTATCAACCTTCCTGCTCAACCAGCCTGTCCTGAGCTTGTTAAACACTTCTATAGTAACCTTTGATGTCTGGGCATTCAGACTAAAAGGTTCTCCAATCTCCACCCTCGTTTATGGACATCTGCTGTCTATCCCTATGCGTGCTCTGTGCATTATCTTAGGATATCCATCCTCTGGCCTTGCCCTTTCTCATACATCTGAAATGTGGAGGTTTGATTTCAATCTCAATATTGAAGGCTCCAAGTTCTCTGGACAACCAGCTACCACCACCTTCGAAGCTTTCCCTGCTTCTCGCTTATGTCCAAAACTCAGAATCTTTCACTATTTCCTCACTCGGGTGTTGTTACCTCGTGGGTTCTCGAGAGATCAAGTTCTTCCTCTTGATATCTGGGTTCTTTCCCATGCCACTGCTGGTCAGAAACTTGACTACTGCTCTCTTCTGTTTGGAGCTATGATATCACCAGGAGATGGATCTCTGCCTTTTGGAGGGATTGTCACCACCCTCCTGGCCAATATAAATATTAACATCTCTGGTTTTCGATCAGAAACTCCCACCATTCATCTCAGTGCTAGAAATGTGTTGGCCTGCTTGGGATTTCAAGTTCCTATATCTCCTGCTCGGTCTCCATTAAGGGCTCCTGCCAACCTTGGCTTGCTGTTTGCTCTCAATGACTCCTCATCTGAGTCATCTGATGAAGATCTTGAAGTTGATCCTAGCTCTCCAGTGCCAGGTCCCCCTCAGTAGTGGACGACAGGTCTCAGGGGGAACTTTTGCTGCATATTCCCAGGGGGAACGTGTGTTTACAACTGATTTATCTCTCGACATATTATGTGTATTTCCAGTCCTTATTGCAATCTGTATCAGATTGCTAGACTTTTGTTGATGTTTGCACATTTTGCAATCCGTGGGAGATTGCTGAACTTCTGTTTGCTCTTTAAAACAGTTTGCAATCCAAAGGAGATTGCTGGACTTATATTATCTTGGGTGTTTAGGTATTCTGAATATTTTGCAACCCATGGGGGTTTGCTGATCCTATATTAACTATTTTGCTATCAGTCGTCTTTGGATATTTTGTTTGCTGTGTTTTATCTTTCAGGTACTGGTACATGGAGGAACAACTGAAGGGGGAAATTGTGAAATGAGGACTCAGCTCTGCCAACCAAAACGACGCCGCTGGAGAATAGCTATGCCAACCAAAACGACGCGCTGGAGAAAACCTCAAACGACGTCGGCAAACGATAACGCAGATATCTATCGGCCTGGAGCTTCGTGGTCAGCCTTATCCTCCATCTTCTTCCTCAAACACTCAAAAGCAGCAGAGCCACTTTCTCCAAGCACCAAGATCACCTACAATCTTGTGCTTGTCAAAAGCATGGCTACTTCAACGTTCTCCCTCAACGGTCCTAAATCTCCCTGCCTATTTAAAGACTTCCTCACATCAAGAGAAAGGCAATGGTTGCAGCTTGATTTGTAGATCTATCGAGTTGTCTAGGGTTCGGGTATTTTTGAACTTCTTCAGTCTCCTCATCTATAGGGAATGATTCTGGGTAGATAGGAGTGGGAAGATTGTTCATCTCTTGGGTCAATCAGATCTTCGATCTGATTTTTTCTTTCCTTCCTTCAGTTTTATTTCGACTGTATTTTCCCTTTAAAAAGCGATCATAATGATCGCAAAATAGCTTCAGTTTATTAATCAAATCAGTCCTCTTTAGTCCTTTCTTTGCATTCCTCTCTAAAAAGCCAAAACCTAAATAGAATCTCCACCCAGCCTAGAATCTCACATTCGTCACCCTCTCACTGTTCCTCGTCTTCCAAAACCACCGCGCTCAATACAACTTCCCCAACCTCCCGCCGGGCTGCCTTTCCTCGGCGAGACGCTCGACTTCCTCTCCACCGGATGGAAAGGCCGTCCCGAAAAGTTCGTGTTCGACCGCGTCACCAAGTTCTCGTCCGAGGTCTTCAAGACCAACATCGTCGGCAAGCCCGCCGTGCTCCTGGCCGGAGCTGCCGGGAACAAGTTCCTTTTCTCCAACGAGAACAAGCTCGTGGTGGCCGGACTCCGTCAACAAGATCTTCCCCTTCACGCAGAACAGCTCGTCGGTCGACGAGTCCCGCTGGATCCGGAAGCTCCTCCCCCACTTCCTCAAAGCTGAAGCCCTTCATATCATAGGTGCGTACGTACGTCAACATTACCCATTTACTACTTCAGAAACATAAATAAATGAGAGGAATTTTACAATGGTTTAAGGGATAAAATGTACCAACCAAATTCAACCCGGACTCCAGAACTGTACTAAAATATCCAGTTTTATAGGGTCAATCTATAAATTTGACGTGACCCTATTTATATTTGTCTATGTCTGATATGTTTGGATTAGATCGGATTAATTGGGTCGGGCTGAGCAAGATGGCTGCGGATCAACAAACTATAATATTTGGTATCCAAATTTATTTTATCTTATAATTTAGCAGATAATTTTTGTATTATAAATAGCTGTTAAAATTTTGGTTGCAAAATTATGTTTTAGTACGTTTATTTTTTTTAATTACAATATAGTACATAAACTTTTACAACTTTACAATCAATTTGGTATGTAGAATTTTCAAATAGTTAATTGGTGCTATGAATTATGGATCCAAAAGTGACCCAATCTTAAGTTGACCCGCCCTATCAATACAAGGCCAAATAATGACCTGACCCTACACTAATCCGGTAGAGAAATTGAGCCACCTGACTCTCTGAGTCAGGCCGAGCCAGTGCGTATGTAAGGCCAGGCTTACACCCCTCCACAGTTTTATAGTATTGGTGCTTTAAAAAAATTATGATATAAACTAAATCTGTACTTACAACATTATTGTTTATACAATACCATTTTTATATAAATTTGGGTAAATACAATATATTAGCCACAACTATTATGAAGCGGGGAATTATAGTCACAACTTTGTAAATTCAAATTATTAACCATAACTATTGTTGCGGGTCAAGATATGACTAACCGTCCGTTACTGCTATTAAGCTTTTATCGAAGAAGGCCACATCATCGGCCACGACAGCAGCTACGTCGGACTGATTTTAATTTCTAACTTTAAAACATTAAAGTTTAGTCAACATTACTAACGAAATTGTTAACAGAGAATTAAAGTTTGATGATAGACCATTGATGACACATGTTTTTACCCCTATTCTTGAGCCGTTTGAGATGTCGATTCCCGCGTTTTAGGCCGATTTCACGCTAGGTTGTTCTTGTTTGTGATATTTCAGGTCCTGGCACGTGAATGAAGGCTTGGGAATGGGTTCGGGGTAGTGGATTTTGGTTCACGATAGGGCACCCTTCTGTTTCTCAGAGAAGCACAAAACCAATTTTCCCCTATCTTTGATTCTTCGTTTCTCCCTCGTTCGGACTCCAAATCAGGTGCCGTTTGATCTCAGACGCTCGTAGTCTCGTCCTCTTTCTTCTCATGACAAGATTACATGAATATATGGTCACAAACTGAGGTAGAAATCAATCTTCTTCAAGTCATACCCGAGTTTCTTCCCCTGAGTCGCCAATTGATCTCCGATTGACTTGAAACTTGCGCCTACGCTTCACTTTATGTGCTAGGACCTGAAATGTGACAAAGGAACACAACCTAGCGTAAAATAGGCCAAAGAAGCGATAATGCAAGCTTAAACGATCGAAAAACAAAGCGGAAAACATGTTCAAATATCGAGTCATCAGATCCCAAACACCATAGGGACAAACCAAAGAGAGAGTGGGTGATTTGAGGGCATTCTTGGAGTGGAATTGGAGGATTTATTCATCATGGAAGCTCGAGGAACAAGCCCGGAGTTGAAGACTGATCATTTGAAGATTCTTACTGCAGTCTCTCTCTTCTCTATGGAGTAACTTCCCTTCACTTAGGTTTTGAGGAACCCTAGCTATGTTGGTTTGATTGGATGATTGTATGAGTACTCCTACTTGATAATCTTGAGTTCATATTCAATCTATGCATGTTTTCGTGATTCAATTCTTCTTTAGTCGAGATTATTGATTCTGCTTTGATCCTATGAGAGCGAATACCTGATTAGGTCAATAGAGCACCATTGATTGATAGTATTGGATTGATTGCTTTAGTCGAGGGTTGATTCAATGCTTTGTATCGATTGAGAACCTCATTCGATAGAGGGAATCTAGTTCAGAATGCCTTGATCGGTTGTTCTAGAGAAGGATACGTCCCTCTAGGCAATTGACTCAAGAGGTCCTTGATCCTATAGTCGAGACTCAAGGTCTAGTCAAGGATTCTCCGCATTGTGAATGAAAGTGAAACAGGTTAGAGATCATCAATCATTAATCTGGCTAGTGGCTAGGGGGAATCATACCTAAGTGAGTTCCCAACCTGTAATTAGATTAACTTTAACTGTAGTTTGTTAGAGTAGTTTTAGTTCTTTCATCTTAATCTGGTTTGCTAGATAATGAACTGAAGTTGAGTAATAGTAGCTCTAGAGACCCGTGGATTCGATATTTATTACTTGAGCCACTATACTGCAGTCTCTTTCATTGGCTCCACTTGGACATTGTTAGGAGTTGTGTCATAGCGAGTCAAGTATTTGGCGCCGTTGCCGGGGACTTTCTAGAGTATTAGGAAACGGAGAAGTTTGTTACTTTAGCATTTTTCTTTTCTTTTCCGCCCTTGCTTTTCACTTGGGTGTTTTTGTTTTTGTTGGTGCAGATCTGAATCATGGATCCTCATGGCTTCTCCAACCATTGGGGGTATCCACCACCGTCCGAGTGGTATTACCCCGAGACCCCTTGAAGAATTCAAGGAGGAGAAGACTATGGATTCGGGTTCCAGTACCAACCCCCTTACTACGGAGAACAATCAGACCCCTGGGCATATCAAGAACAACCTCATTACCAAGAAGAATTTCTCCCACAATCAGGAGGGCCATCGGAGCTGGAGTTACCCATGGCGGCCTTCACGGGCCATTCTGCAGAGCCATGCTACACTCCACAACCAGATCCAAACTATGAATTGAGGCTTCTCATGGAGCAGTTTGCTCGAGACAGTGAGAGATCATGGTCTAGGATGGATCTTTGTACCCAGGCCTATCGTGAAACAAAGGAGATCCTCCTGAGCATTAAGAAGAGCGTCGATGATCTTGAGCGATCTTATGCACAACCTGCTCCAAATCACACTTATGCTACGATACAAGAAGAGGAGAAGGAAGAAGGCTACAAGGACATTGTGGAGCAGACAGAAGTTGTCACGGAGAGCTCCCGTGATGATCATGACCAGGAATATCCTGTCATAGCCGACCACACCATTGATGGCACATGTTTTTATCCCTACAAACATAGCTAGGGTTCCTCAAAACCTAAGTGAAGGGAAGTTACTCCATAGAGAAGAGAGAGACTGCAGTAAGAATCTTCAGATGATCAGTCTTCAAGTCCGGGCTTGTTCCTCGAGCTTCCAAGGCGAAGAAATCCTCCAATTTCACTCCAAGAATGCCCTCAAATTGCCGTCTCTTTCTTTGGTTCGTCCCTTGGGTGTTTGGGATGCAAAATCCACCTCTCCCTTGCAAAAACGAACAAAACAGGCTTTTAACAGCCTGCATTCGCGATCCCCGGTCAAAATCCCCTGTCGGGTATTTTAGGTCACGACCGGGGATTTTTGGTTCACGACCGGGGATTTTTTGTTCACGACCGTGGATTTTGGTTCACGATAGGGGATTTTTGGTTCACGATAGGGCCCCTTCTGTTTCTCAGAGAAGCCCGAAACCAATTTTCCCCTATCTTTGATTCTTCGTTTCTCCCTCGTTCGGACTCCAAATCAGGTGCCGTTTGATCCCAGACGCTCGTAGTCTCGTCCTCTTTCTTCTCATGACAAGATTACATGATTATATGGTCATAAACTGAGGTAGAAATCCATCTTCTTCAAGTCATACCCGAGTTTCTTCCCCTGAGTCGCCAATTGATCTCCGATTGACTTGAAACTTGCGCCTACGCTTCACTTTATGTGCTAGGACCTGAAATGTGACAAAGGAACACAACCTAGCGTAAAATAAACTAAAGAAGCGATAATTCAAGCTTAAACGATCAAAAAACAAAGCGGAAAACATGTGCAAATATCGAGTCATCAGATCCCAAACATCATAGGGACAAACCAAAGAGAGAGTGGGTGATTTGAGGGAATTCTTGGAGTGGAATTGGAGGATTTTTTCGTCATGGAAGCTCGAGGAACAAGCCCGGAGTTGAAGACTGATCATCTGAAGATTCTTACTGCAGTCTCTCTCTTCTCTATGGATCACTTCCCTTCACTTAGGTTTTGAGGAACCCTAGCTATGTTGGTTTGATTGGATGATTGTATGAGTACTCCTACTTGATAATCTTGAGTTCATATTCAATCTATGCATGTTTTCATGATTCAATTCTTCTTTAGTCGAGATTATTGATTCTGCTTTGATCCTATGAGAGCGAATACCTGATTAGGTCAATAGAGCACCATAGATTGATAGTATTGGATTGATTGCTTTAGTCGAGGGTTGATTCAATGCTTTGTATCGATTGAGAACCTCATTCGATAGAGGGAATCTAGTTCAAAACGCCTTGATCGATTATTCTAGAGAAGGATACGTCCCTCTAGGCAATTGACTCAAGAGGGCCTTGTTTCTTTAGTCGAGACTCAAGGTCTAGTCAAGGATTCTCCGCATTGTGAATGAAAGTGAAACAGCTTAGAGATCATCTATCATTAATCTGGCTAGTGGCTAGGGGGAATCATACCTAAGTGAGTTCCCAACCTGTAATTAGATTAACTTTAACTGTAGTTTGTTGGAGTAGTTTTAGTTCTTTCATCTTAATCTGGTTTGCTAGATAATGAACTGAAGCTGAGTAATAGTAACTCTAGAGACCCGTGGATTCGATATTTATTACTTGAGCCACTATACTGCAGTCCCTTTCATTAGCTCCACTTGGCCATTGTTAGGAGTTGTGTCATAGCGAGTCATTTGACTAATAATTTGAATTTCCATAGTTGTGGCTATAATTCCCCGCTTCATAATAGTTGTAACTAATATATTGTATTTACCCTATAAATTTCTTTGCAGTGAAAATTAAACTTTCATATTATAAATCAACTTGTAATATAATTCAAATTAGTAGTCGAAAGCAAT